GGTTGTGGCGCTGCGGGATCCGACTCACCTTTAGACAAATGCTCAGCATCGGCCTCGTGTCAAACACCTACCAGAGACGAGAGTGAGAGGAGACACACATTGTACATCTATACATGTAATCATCTGCCTCGTCTCCATGTTAAATACAACATACAAGTCTTGTTTCCGTGTCACAAACACATGATGTCCAAGCATTGCCTGTGTATGACATACACTGTACATGTAACCCCCGTGACACGTCTGTAACTCACCTTGATCAGGTTAACCAGGATGTGAAAATTGCGTACAGCCAAGTTCCATTGTACAAGATGTTCAGCCTGAACCTGCAAGACAAACAACACGCCTCCAGGTCATGGGATCATACATGGAAGACAGACAACACGCCTCCAGTGATAGGATCATACATGGAAGACAGACAACACGCCTCCAGTGATAGGATCATACATGGAAGACAGATAACACGCCTCCAGTGATGGGATCATACATGGAAGACAGATAACACGCCTCCAGTGATGGGATCATACATGGAGGTACACAAACCTGCAGGCTGTCGGACTTTTTCCCAACCGGAATATTCCGCACATACTTCTCCAGCCGGTCCATGAGGACTCGGAAATACACGAGGAAGGTTTGTCTGTAAGAAGAGACGTGTACAGTGCGGGGTGAGCCATCATACCATACTGTGTCATGTGACCGGAGCCATCATACCATACTGTGTCATGTGACCGGAGCCATCAAACCATACTGTGTCATGTGACCAGAGCCCTCATACCATACTGTGTCATGTGACCGGAGCCATCATACCATACTGTGTCATGTGACCGGAGCCATCAAACCATACTGTGTCATGTGACCAGAGCCCTCATACCATACTGTGTCATGTGACCGGGGCCATCATACCATACTGTGTCATGTGACCGGGGCCATCATACCATACTGTGTCATGTGACCGGAGCCATCATACAGAGTGTCATGTGACCAGAGGAGAGCGATCGGTGGGATACATCACCTGCTCAGTGTTGGGTAGGTGGATGAATGTCCATCTTTGGTGGTGTTGGTCAGCTCTGACACCCCGACACTGCAGATGTCTTCCACCGCTTTCAGGACATCCGTGTACTGCAGATAGATCCTGGAAGACACGCCAGATCACTAGATGGGACCACATGAGGCTCTGTGACCTATAACCCCCCCCATGCATGTGACCTATAACCCCCCCATGCATGTGACCCATAACCCCCCCATGCATGTGACCTATAACCCCCCCATGCATGTGACCCATAACCCCCCCATGCATGTGACCTATAACCCCCCCATGCATGTGACC